GCGGCCGGGCTGTGTGCCGCGTCGTGACGGAGCGGCGCGGCGGCGTGAAGTATGTCGCCAACCCCACCGCGCTGGTGGCGAGGGCGGCGGAGGCGGAAGCGGAGGGGAGTCACACCGCCGCGAAGGTGACGCGCGGGCATTAGCGCACCTAACTGTTGCTCTGGATGGTGTGGAGTGCCCTGTTGTCACTCCCCCCTTCTTGCCTTTTGCTGTGCTGTTACTCGCTATACTAGGACTGCTTGTGAGTGATGTGTGGCCTTCCTGTGCTTCTCTCTTTTGGCTAGCGCGTGATGGCAACCCTACCGAATGGGAATGACCAGCTGCAAGAGGAGAAACAGCACCAACAGGAACTGCGGCAGGTGGGGTATGAAGCCCATGGGGAGGAGAATCAGCAGCAGCAGGAGGCAGAGGGAGAGGGAGAGGGGAATTGCGGCGCACCCGTGGATGTCGACCCAGATGCAGAGCAAAGCCCTTGCCATGAAGGCGGTGCCGGTGGCGACAGTGACGGGGCTTCTCCCGTCGTGGAGGCGCATGCTGCAGTGCACTCGTCCACAGGTGACAATAGCATCGAGAAGTGTTTGCTCGCTGTCATCCGTGACGGCGCGTTTGGAAACGCATTTACTCTTATTCGCGATGTGACGCTTCAGCAAGAGGTAACATCGCGAGCCATTGTGGAGCTTAAGGCCGAGCTGGGACGGACGGAGGAGGATATGCGGCAAATGGACGAGGTGTTTAAGAAGGTAGGGTTTTACGTGCAGAAGCTCAGCGTGATGCGAAGTAACATGGAGGTGCTTGACGCAAACATGGCCAAGACGAAGCGCCTGGCGTGGGGAATCCGCGAGCGGCTGCAGAAGACAGGCGAGTGGGGCTCCGAGTAAAGTGTGCATGCTGCTTTTTCACGCAGCGTTCTCGCCTCGCCTGCTGCAGGTGATTCCTCTTCTGGCTGCTGTGCCCTTTGTTTCCCCCTCCCCTTCGGTTTTGCTATGATCATCTCGTTGCTGTTGCTCCGTGGTGTTTGGGGGGGGGGNCGCCGTGGGTTTGGCGTTGTGCCGCCGGCTCGCTCCCGCCGCTCCCTCCGCGATCGCATCCGTCTCGCACGGACGCAAAGTGCGGCAGCTGCACGCTGCAGTTATATTTGTTCCTGCGGTTGTTCCTTGTGGGCTTCCAACTCGGACACACACAAACACACATAGCCTCTCTCTCTCTGTCTCTCTCTTCCTTCTCTCTGCGTGTCTCGTTGCTGCTCGTGGGGGCGGGGCTCTGCAAGCACGAGCGCGGGCGAGGGAACGACACACTCCCCGCCCACCACCCTTGACTCCGGTGCTGCGTGAAGGCGTGTGCGTGTTGGCCCGCGTCTTTCCCCCGGCGAGGCGGCGGCGGCGGCGGCATCTTCAGACGAGCTCGCACACAGNAAAAACAACAACAAATTAATAAGCTAATCAGACTTCTTCAACACACGCAGGTGACCGAATAGTCATGTGGCGTTTGCGCGCGGCCCCCCGATTCTGTTGTCGCCTAGCGGGGCCGCCACTATTCGTCGCAGCTGCGTTCTTCACCTCCAAGGACAGCACAGCTGCTGCAGCAGTGCATACGACGAAAAATGAAACACACTTCCGCCGTCTATTGCGTGCCATGGTGGTGGAAGAGGCGTCCGCACCACGTGGTGGGGCCAACGTCGGTGATGGTGGCGCAGCTATTCCACTCGACGAGCCACTCACAGCAAGTGTGGCGTTGATGGAGCAGCTTGGCGTTCTTGACCTCGCGGAGCGGCGCACACAGCAGTTTGCCGTCGCCGCGGACGCGTTGGATACCACCGATAACACAGAGGCAATTCCATCATCGCTCACCGCCACTATTACGGAGGCTTGCAAAGCAGGCGCCGCCTGCCGCCTGCCACCCGTTGTGGTGCTTCAGAAGGTTATTACGGCAGCCAAGATGCCAGACGGACACAATTTATTACTGCCGCCGGTCGCCGCCGCGGTGCTGCTGCGCTACGCCGCTGAGCGAATCACCGCAAAGGCTGCGGCGCTTCAGCGATGCCTTGACGGACGCGATGCCCTGCTGGTGCGGTATGAGAACGCTTCGTGGCCGCGCAGTGACCAGGGCGAGGCTGCGCGGCTGCGGTGGGCGCTCAGTGAGGAGGTGCGGCACGGCTACAATCTGCTCGCAAGACTGCAACGACGGAAGTGTAACGACGCCCAGCTGAATCAATATCAACTGGATGAACTTCGGGCGAGACTTCAGCTCGCGGCTGCCCTGCAGGACAGCGCTACAGCTGCCGATGCCATTGAAGATCTTCTCGCGCTGCACGCCCAGCTGCAGAGCCGCGACAGTGGGGGCAAGAACGTTGAGGCTGGTGCTGAGACTTCGTCTTACCTCATTGAATTGGCACGCGATGTGGGTACTGCGATTACTGCGTTTCGCACCAGTTGTGACTTTTTGGCGGGCTGCAGACTCTGGGAGAAATTTCTCGCTGCTGATCCGTGGAGTGACACAGTAAACCCTAACGGTATTGCTAACAGCGGCGGCGACGGCGGCATAGCCATCACAATTGCCGCAGAGAAGCTTCGGCTGCTTTCTTTGCTCGCGGAATGCATTGATGCTAACGTGACACACTTCACATATGTGCGAGACTCCGTGGTGCGGTTGTTTACCGATACGGATGTGGGGTACTTTTCCCGCACAGTGCGTGCCTCACAAGAGGCCCTCTGCGCCGTGTTGCTGGTGCTTTCACGCGTCACACTTGAACCCGGCGCAAAGATGGACGCTGCGCAGTCATTCTTCTGCGCTGTGCAGCAGGCGACGCAGGCGGATGTCTGCCTTGCTGATTGTGTCACAGAGGCGCTGCTGCAGGTGGCGAGTGCCGCGCGTGATAGCAGGGCGGCGCTACTGCTGTATAACCAGCTTTCTGCCCCAAAAGTGAGGCGTGCGGAGGTGCCAGCGAACATGGCCGCAATGCTCGTGGCGGAGGGCGATGCGCTTCATGATGGGACACGCTACTTGAGTTTTGTGAGTCTGCGTCGCCGCGTGATCGCCTCCGCGGCGGCACATCTTCTGGCTGCGAAGCTGTTGCTGCAGCAGAAGCCCTCCGAGGTGGTCTATAGTGTGCTTGACTTGATCGAAACGAGACACGAAGTGGATCCGCAGCGGACGTTTTTCTTACGTCTCCTCGTGTTTAATCGCGACCTGGAGCAGAGGCAGCAGCAGCAGCAGCAGTTGCAGAAACAGAGCAACGAGGTGTCGGAGTTGCCATCCATTTCATACGCGCATGCGCAGCGTATTCTCGAAGCGTGGCGTGAAGAGCTGCGTACTGCAGGCATCACCACTATCGCCTGCACCACACTGCAGCTGTTGCAGCGCATACGCCGGCAACTCACTGCGATGTCTGCGTGGCTGCAGCAGCCGTCAACTAGTGGTGAAGGCATGGAGGACCCATCATCGCTGCTTGCCTGTGTCAATGGCATGCTCTCCGAGCTGTCGCTTGGTTGGCTGCGCCACCGTGCCGCTCCTTCCCGCACGCCGCTGTTTCACCTGAAGGCTGTGGACCTGGATCGCATGACGCACAGGGACCGCGTTATAGCCCCCGGAGCTGCTGTTGCGATAAGGATGTTACACAATGAGGTGATGTGTTCAGCTGCTGCCCCTGGAAGGTTCACAGCAGAGCAGCGTCGTGCCGTTGTGCAGAAAACATTCGACGCATTGTATGCCGCGGCTGATACGGAAGGTGCGACGGCTGTTGTGTTGGGTTTCAGCGATTATGTGCGGCTCTGCTGGCTTGAGGACTCGGCACTCACGGGTTCTGGCGCTACTACCACAGGCGGTGAACCTTACTGCAGTTTGGAGCGCCTCAACCGTTGCGTGCCGCTGCTGTACGTCACCGATGCACTCGGTGAGGCGATGCTGCCAAGCGCAGGGGACGAAAAAGCAGCCCAAGCACCGGCGTCGCTTAGTCGTGACATTCACGTCGACGTGATGCACGTCAGTGACCCCCCGCACAGTAGCAGCACGGTGGAGGAGAAATGGCTCGCACGGTGGCTGGAGGAAATTTCAATCGCGTCGCCGGTTGTGCGTGGCGTGTTCGAGCGACACCTCGCGTTGCTGCTGCGTGAGGCACCTCTCGCCACTGCTTCTTCTTCTTCTGCTGCTGCTGCTGCTTCTTCTGTTTCTGGGGCTGCAACGGATGGACGGGAAACTACTGGCGAGCGGAAACCGGCCGTCCTGCAGTGGTTTGTGTCCGCAGGGGTTGCGAAGCCGAGTGAAGCTTAAAGCGTGTTGCTGCCGACGATGCAAGCGTGTGAGGCCTCTGCGTCTGTGTGTGTGTGTGTGTGTGTGCTTCACGGTGTTTACATGTAGTCCATGACGCCTGTTGTTGAATATGTTGCTTGCTTCTTGCCTGCAGTTGCGGCTGCTTCTGCCATGCTTTCTCCCTCTTCTTCTTGGTGCAGGAGGTGCGCCGTTCAACCAAGGGAGGTGGAGGGACGGTGTGCGGCTTCCCCCGCTCTGCACGCTGCCGGTCACCATGCGCCGGAGCTTCAAGGTGAAGGGCGACGCCGCCCGCGTAGCGCTCGTGGAGTTTTTGGTCGACAAGCGCGTGCGGTTCCTAGAGTACCTGCGTGAGCTGCACCGAGACGAGGTGCTGTGGATGGGCACCGTGCGGCTGACGCGGCAGGATGTGGTGCGGAGCTTCCGCGGCGACGGCCGCGTAGAGCAGAGCTGCACAGAGTACCGCCTACCCTCAGGTGACCCAACCGAGGTTGGCGAGCCATCACATGCGGGAGAAGCAGGTGCTGCTGTAGCAGCAACAACAACAACAACANAGGTGACCCAACCGAGGTTGGCGAGCCATCACATGCGGGAGAAGCAGGTGCTGCTGTAGCAGCAACAACAACAACAACAACACTATCGTCATCGGAGGACGTTGTGGTTACGTTGGACCCTATCGCCGGCGTGCCGCATAGAGTGGGCTCCAGCTGGCTGTCGTCGCATATGCCGTGCTATCTTTGCCTTGCTATGTCGCTTGGGGACTTGCTGCAGGCTCCGCTCCCGGCTTTCGACTTTGTGGAGTGCATGTATACGCTACTGTTAGAGATGGATGTGCGGTTCGCCACTGGAGCTGCCGCAAAGGCCCTTGCACAGCGCAATCTCCGCAATTACCGCCAGCAGCAGCTGTGGCTCTCCGATCCCTCGTCGGCGGCCGGTGGCGGTGGCGGCGGCAGCAACAGCAGCAGCACGGCGACCGGCACTCTGGGTGGTGTGGCTGCCCCNTCGGCGGCCGGTGGCGGTGGCGGCGGCAGCAACAGCAGCAGCACGGCGACCGGCACTCTGGGTGGTGTGGCTGCCCCCTTCCTGCCGACGTCGTGGGATAATGATTCTCCGATGAAGTACTTCTACTTGAACCTCGAGCACAATGCCTACACGACGGCGGGCGGCGTGCGTTACGAAGAGCTCATTATTCCGCTCTGCTCGCAGTTGACGCTCGCATACCGAAGACTTGGGGAATATGATGTAACGAGCAACGATGAGGGCCTGAGGCGCATCCTCTCCATTGACCGCCGCCTTCAGCATATGTTCTTNTCCGTTGTCAGTAAAGAACTGGGGAAGATAGCCCGTGGCAAGCTGCTGCAGCAGACATTGTTGCTATCAACTGACGGTCTCTTTGCTGGAATTTGCAACACGCACGGAAACACGCAGAGCCTCCTGAAGGACCTCATCCGTCAGCCAGCCAGCACTTCCGCTTCGGCACCGTCGAGGGCGCCGAAGGGCGGAGTCAGCAACATCAGCAACAGCCTAAGCGGCATGCATGACACACCCATGGTGGATTCTGATGAGGAGTTTGACGAAGAGGATTTGTGATGTCCGGAAGATGAGGCAGAGACGTCCGTGAAGAGGATGCAGGAGGGGATGGGACAAAAGAAGGCCAGTGGCCGTCATCTAAGTGCCGCATGGTTGGTGGCATATGTTTCTCTATATCTGTTTATAGTCCTCTACTCCTTTTTGTTTTGTCTCATTTTCTCTGCTTGCATACCTCTCTGTCGCTCTTTCTCTCTCTCTCTCTCTCTGTCTGTCTTTCTGTGTGCCGCTGTGTCTCTCTGTGTGTGCGTGGGGGTGGGGGGGATACACTGGGCGTGTAGCAATAGGAAAGGTCGCATCTGCGGCAGGCACCATGGCACCTCCATTGCTGGCTGTGCGGCAGTTTGTCTACACCCATGAAGTGCCGCTTGACGACGACGGCAACAACACCAACAACGATGCGGGCGATAATTATAAGGATAAGAAAGGAGATGCCACCTTCAGTAGTAACAACAACAAGGACTGCGGTGCCCATGGAGCTACAAGAGCCGTTACGGTCGCGCGTATCACTGCGCAGGTGGTGTCGTTCGACCACCGCTGCTTCTGGGTGCACCTCTCCGAGTCCAGGGAGAGTGGCGACGCGCCACCGCCGCCGCTTGGTCCGTGCGCGGTGGCGTTTGGCGGTTTGGCGGTGGACGTCACGTCCACCACTCTCATCGACGACGCACAGCTGCCGCAGCAGCAGGAACAGCAGCAAGGGGGCGGTGGCGTGAGTGCGCCGAATCCGCAGGCTGTGTTCGCGCAGAGCCTCGCCCAGCGTATCGCCCGTCGTCTACAGCAGGAGTGCGGGGCGGCGGTAGCAGTGTACGTGGCATGCGGCATTTCGGGGGAAAAGGCGGAGCTGATCGGCACACCGGCAGGCAGCAGCCTCGACGTCACGATGCGGTTTGGCGCGGTGGTGTTCCGCAACGTGATGGAACTCATCCGCGAGGAACTTCTGCCCCCTTTGCCTGCTTGATTCACACATACACACAGGAACACAGACGTATTGCGCAGGGAAAGGGAAAGGGAGTGGCTCAAAGCCTCCTTCCTTAGCTCTGTGTGGGGCTGGGCTGATGTGTCCTTTTTTTTTTCTCTCTCTCTCTCATTCACCCCTTTCTGTTCTTTGGTTCATGGAGCTGTTGCCACTTGTGCTGCGCTGGAGGGGGTGGTGGTGTCTCTCCGTACTGCTCGTTCCTTTTTTTTTTCGTTTCTTCTCGCTTGATTTATTGCCGCCGCCACGGCCACTCTTCGGGCCGCACCCACATGTCACCGGCGGCGTGTTTTGTGTGCTTCGGCAGCGAAGACGTATTGCGTGCCTAGTTTGCATTGCCACATCGTTATCGTTACTGCCCCCCGTGATTATCGCACTTCACCATGGCGGCGACAGTCTTTACACGCGCTGAGGTGGCGAAGCACAACGCCAAGGAGAGCGGCTGGCTGATCATCCACAATGAGGTGTACGACGTGTCGGAGTTCTACGACGACCACCCCGGCGGCCGCGACGTGCTGCTGCACCACATCGGCGGTGACGCCACCGAGTCGTTCGACGCCGTGAACCACAGCAGGGGCGCGCGCATGCTGCTGCAGCGCAAGAAGATCGGCGTGCTCGACACCCCACAGGAAACGGCGCCCTGCATGCGGCTCAGCGAAGTGGTGGAGACGCAGCAGAAGGCGAAAGAGAAGTCCGCCAATGCGTGCTGGGTGGTGATCAAGAACAAGGTGTACGACCTCACGGAGTTTCTCGATCTCCACCCTGGCGGCCGCGACGTGCTGCTCTGGCAGTCCGGCACAGACGCCTCCAAGGCATATGAGGAAATCGGCCACAGCAGCGGAGCGAAGCTTATGATGAAGAAGTACTTCGTCGCCGACCTGAACCCTGACGACAGGCGCGCTGCCGCTGCGGCGAAACCAGTGGCGGAGGGTGGTGCTTCCAACAGCAAGAGCAGCACCTTCAATAAGAAGTCTAATGACTCCTTGCACGCTTTCATCATGGCGCAGGTGCAGTTCGGATTGATGATACTGGTGGGGGTGGCCGCGGTGGTGTACGTGTTTATGCGCCTCTGAGGCCTCCACACAACTTGGAGGTGTGCTGGCGAGATCACTCGCGTCTCTTTGTGTGTGAGTGAGTGGGAGAGAAGCAAAACACAGATATAATGACTAAACCCGCTGAGAAGATGCGGGTGCGACGGCGATAAAACTGCCTGGTTCAAAAATAGCAGGAATACCAGGACGACATGCAGCGAAAGCGTACCGTGTGGTATGCACCCGCTCCGTGAATTCCCATGTATGCTTGTATCTCCTGTTGTGCCTTCCTTAATCGCCTTACCAGACCTTATCTAGGCTTGCCGTTGGTGCTGCGGCGCTGTGCTTTTGTGTGCGGTAGCGCCGCCCCTCTCCACCGCCCTCCAGAGCTGATGGCCGGCCTGCTGCGGTGCAGGGTCGGGGGGGGGCGGCGCTGGCCGCAGACACGGCGAAATGACGCAAGCCGACGCTCGCAACGGCTGAGCAATATAAATCATGACATTGACAAACCAGAAGAGGATATGAGATGCAAAGAGAAAAAGGAATGAAAAGACAAAAAAAAAACGAACTGAAGAGAATGCGAGAAAAATATTGAGGTGCAACTTGACAGTTGGACGCAAAAACAACAACAACAACAACAAACAAAGAGGAGAAAACAGGAACGGCATGAAACATACGCGATGGAGGAAGTTACGGAGGCCTGTGGAGGAGCAGTGAGTCAAGCGGTGGCGGTGACGGGCCACGCACGCACGCGCTGTCGTGGCCCCTGCTCCCCACTCCGTCCTCCTCTTTTTGTGCACGTCCTCAACGAAACTCCGTTCGTCGCAAAGGGACACCTACACCTCCACACACACACACACAGACACACATGCATTGCATACGTACATACACGTACTTTTCTCTGCGCCTGTCTTTATCGGGTTTCCTGTGCTACTCTGCGTCTGTGATTTGTTCCGTCTCTCCCATTTTCTCGTACGGCACATGCACGTGTGTCCTTCTGCTGCGTCTCTCCGTAGGAGGTCCGTTGGCGTTGTGTGTCGGCTGCGTGTGCGATATGCCGAAGCGCCTCTTAGAGCGCGAGCGGGACGTGCGGAAGAAGAAGGCTAAGAAGGATGAGGTGAACGGTGCACCGCGTGTGGAGGAGGATGCGGCGCGTAATGTCGTTCCTGCAGCATCGATGAAGCGTCTGGAGGCGTTCGTGCAGCGGTGGATGTCGGAGGCGAACAACGTGCAGCTCCCACCGCCGTCTTCGATGCCGGTGACCGCCCCACTTCCAACTATTCTCGATATGATGATGCCGCCGGCCACATCTCTTCATCCTGTTACTACGGCTTCTGCTTCTCTAGCTGCTGCTGCTGCAGCCAACCCAGTGCGCATGAATGGGGTGCTTGCAGCCCGGCAGGTGGCGGAGGGAACAGGCGTGGTGTTTGATGACGTGATGCTGCTGCATGAGTCGACAAACCCCAATGAATACGAGCGTCCTGGGCGACTCAAGCGTACGGTGGAGCACCTTCGCGCGACTGGACTCATGTCGTGCTGCCGCCGCATCCCACGCCATGTCGCACGCACAAAGGAACTCCGTCTCGTGCACTCTCTCGAGCACATTGACTACATTGACCAACTGGAGTTCGTCGCCTCGCTGCAAAAGCCTGGCTGTGACTACAGCGTCGGGCAGGATCTCTACGCCAACACCAGTACGTCCAAGGCGGCCCGAACGGCGGCCGGATGTGTTGTTGCGGCGGCGCTGAGTGTCGTGCGCGGTGAAGTGGGAAACGCCTTTGCGCTGGTGCGGCCGCCCGGGCATCACGCCAGCTCTAACACCGCGTCCGGCTTCTGCTTCTTCAACAACGTGGNGCCTTTGCGCTGGTGCGGCCGCCCGGGCATCACGCCAGCTCTAACACCGCGTCCGGCTTCTGCTTCTTCAACAACGTGGCGGTAGCGGTGCGGATGGCGCAGCAGGAACTTCGCAAGCGTGGTGTGGCTGAGCCACGAGCGCTCGTGCTTGACTGGGACGTACATCACTGCGACGGCACTGAGAGCATCTTTTATGAGGACCCGTCAGTAGTTGTGGTATCGATTCACCAGTATGGATCTGGTCGTGGGCACGTGTTGCGCAAGACTCCCTCTGTGTTTACTGACACAATCGACGTGAATGCATTGGCCGCGCTGATGGAGGCCACAACAGCGGAGGAGACCAACAGCAACGGTGGTGGTGGTGGTGGTGGGGNGGGATAGCAACAATGATGCACCAACAATAAACAGCGAGCCGCAGCTGCAGCAGCAGGCCTCACAAGAGCAGGAAGGGGGAAGACGTCCGAGAAGGCCGGTCGACTACGCCAAGCTTGCGGATGATATGGAAGAGGACGACGATGCCGTTGCAAGAATGTTCGGCATCACGCCAGATGAGCTGGAGATCTCCTCTTCAACCCTCAGCAGCAGCAGTAGCAACAGCTCAGTGCTCGCATCCTCGTCTCGCAACGTGGCAGCGGCTGGAAAGCTCCCTGGTGACACGGAGGGTCTCTCCTTCGACGAAAACGTGAATGACGGAACGCGCGAGCCCTTCTACCCGGGAACGGGCCATATGGAGCGCGTCGGTGGCGACGTGACGGAGGAGGCGTGCGGGCGAAACATAAACGTGCCGTGGCCGACCGTTGGCATGGGTGACCTGGAGTACTTGCAGGTGCTCCTTGACGTTGTTGTGCCAGTGGCGCGTGAGTTTGCGCCGGATATCATCTTTGTTAGCTCCGGCTTTGACAGCGCCGCAGGGGACCTCCTCGGTGCGATGCGACTCTCACCATCGGGGTATTCCCTTCTCACCAAAACCCTCGCCGCCGTCTGCCCGCGGCTCGTGGTGGCACTGGAGGGCGGCTACAACTTGTCAAACGTCGCGCTCTGCACGGAGGCAGTCATGCGGGCGCTGCTGGAGTGTAGCGGCTCCGCCCCACTGCCGCGGAGTGGGATGCTGAGGTGCCAGGCGGAGGAGCTGGTGAAGCAGGTGCGCCACACCCACGAACGCTACTGGCGCTGCTTCGCGCGCTCCGAGTGAGGTGTATGCGCAGAGTTCACCACCTGCGAGAAGAACGCCAAGGAGTTAAGCGTAAAGGGGAAGAAAAGCGGAGAGAAAATAAAACACGCCTGCGGAGTAAGGACAACACGGTGTGTGTGTGTTTGTGTGTGCCTCTGTTCATGTTCCGGCTAAAACAACAACAAAAAGAAATTCTCCTTACTGCGTGTGCTTCTCCTCCGTAAGTGGAGGGGAAGTTATCATCTCTCTATCTAACGGGATCAATGGGCCAGGCTCGCGCTTCCAACAGCGGGATTTCATCTTTTTTTTGTTTTTGTCTGCTGTGAGTTCTCTTTCTTTTTGTCCCCTCTGTTGATGGCAAAGTGTGCGAGCGACGCACAGACACAGAGCACTTATGATATAGACGTGCCTGACTTTGTGCGCCGCGTGACCGTAGCGGTAGGGTGGGGGGAGGGCGGTGTCCCTTTCGTGCGACGGGTGTGGCAGTGGCATTTAGGACCTACTGTGGCGTTGACGGTGTGACATTCTCAACTGTGAAACGAAGATTCAGCTGTGCTGTTGTCTGGTATCTTTTTGTCCCTAGTGTCCCCGGTGCTATTTCCGTGTGCGCTCTGGGTGTGTCGGCGTTCGTCGCGGGGCGACGCCGTGGGCGCTTGGCGGATTGGATCGGCGCCTTGAACAAGAGGTGGTATGGGTGGGGGGCCTTGTCAGGTGCAGCTCGTGCACGTTGCACAGGCACATAACGTTCCGTGTAGTATTATTTTGTTTGGGCTTTTTGCGTTCTTCTTCCTTTTTGTGCCTTCTTGGCTCCATTCGGATGCCTCTGCACTGCTGCCCTCTCTCTCTCTCTCTCACACACACGCATATAAGTGTTTACACACCGGCACCGTGTGGGGTAAGGCATGACGACGGCTTTAGTGCGGCGGGATGGTCGGGGCCAGCGCGAGATGCGTGGCAGGGAGCTGCGCACCTCGGAGCTGAACCAGTTCGATGGCTCTGCGTGGTACTCACAGGGCCTCACTGCAGTTGTGGCTGCCGTCAACGGCCCCGTTGCCGCGCGGCAGGAGGACTACCGCACCTGTGACGTGCGCGTCTACCTTACACGTGCAGTGCGCCTGCCGCACGCCGGCGGGGCTGACCGTCTGTGTGTGGAGCAGCAGCGGGAGGAGCAGCAGCGTGCGGACGGCGAGGCGGAGCGATTCCTTGCGTCGTGCGTGGAGGCCGTTGTGCTACTGGAGCGGTTCCCGCGCTGTGTGCTCGAGGCGCACTTGACCGTGCTGTCTGATGATGGCGCCCTCCTCGCTGTGGCGGCAAACGCGCTGATGTGCGCGCTGCTCGATGCCGGCGTGCCGTGCCGCACGACAATTGCGGCGGTGTGCCTCGCGGCGTGTGCGGATGGGAACAGCGGCCCATCCGCATCATCGCCAGCGGCATCATCATCAGTGCTTCTGCTCGACCCGACGCTGGCGGAAGAGGCGGGTGACGAGGCGCAGAGTTACGCCACGGCGACCTTTGTCGTGGCGAACCCGAGCAGCAGCGACAAGAGCAGCAGTGGCGGTGTGCTGGCGAGTCATGTGGAGGCTCGCCCGGGGTCGTCGCTGTACGGCTGCCGTCTGCGGGCGGCGGAGCTGGCCAGCATGACTACGCTGGCAGAGCGAGCCGCCACGATACTCTTTGACTTCTTCCGGAACTGCAACGTACCGCTGGAGTAAGCGGCAACACGTCCCGTTTGTGGGCTTCTGCTGTCGTGGTGGTGGCGGTGGTGTTGGTGGTGGCGGTGAGACCGGCGCTGGCACCGGTGCGTTTAAATGCCGAGGAGGGAAAGGGCGAGCCGGAGGTGTAACTTGTGAGTAACACGGGCGGATAAGAACGAGAGAGAGAGAGAGACGAAAGTGATAGAGCGAAACAAAAGGAAAAAAAAGAAAAACAACAACGACGACAGAAACGTATGCGGCATGTAAGGGTGGCAAGTCTCTTCGGCAATCATTGGTGTTGTGCCCAGGAAGACAACGCCGACGACGAACCAACATGCGGCGCGTGCTGTAGAGGCTTCTTTGAAATCTCTTTCTCTTCCCGTCTTACTTCACCCCCGCGCCGGCGCAGCGGAGAGGGCTGCCGTCCACACACACACACACCGCCAGCAGAGTGTGCGCACCGTTTGCGTTTTTGTTATTCTGTCTCTTTTCTTTTCTTTCGCCCCTCCGCGGTGCTGCGTGGCCGTCACCACCGGCTCGGATCTGCAAAGGGCCTCTATACACAGAAGGAAAGGAAAGAGACGCGCTTCAAAAGTCACCGAAAAGCAAGCAAGGCAACAACATCCAACAAACAAAAAAGATGTCAACAAACGGTGATGCTGCGTCTGCAGCATCGGGTGAAGCAAATTGCCCTCGTGAGAGTTCTGCGCCCGACGTTGCTCAGGCGGTGCAGGCAACGGTGTGCGCAAAGACGTACTCCTACACACAGTACACCCCAGCGGCCGCGGAGCCTGTTGCCTGCGTCTCTGACGGTGCGTGGGAAGTTGACCACCCGTCGCCCACCGTGTACGCGAGCCAGAACGCCGTCGCACGCATGAAGGAGGCCACACGGTTGTATAAGAAGGCGGAGTCGGCGGTGGCGAACGGCCTCGCCAAGTGTGGCGATTGGCTTTCCGCACGTGATCTCTTCTACGAGGCGGGCGCCATCTTTGCTACCGGCGGGTACGCAGAGGATGCGGCCAAGGCGTTTCTGCACGCCGGCATCATCACTCGGGCCTTCAAGAACGAGGAAGAGATGGTAACTGCCATGTCGCTCGCCGCGGAGAACCTGCAGGTGGTGCAGCCGGCCCTCGCCGTGGATGTGCTGCACAGCCTCGCCAATTCGCTGGTGGCGGCCGGCCACCCGATTCAGTCGGCGCGCTGTAAGCGTGAAGCCGCCCTCTTGCTGGAGCAGCGCCTCGCGGAGCCCGCAAAGGCGATACAGCTGTACAGGGAGGCGATGGAGCTGTACGGCAACCGCGTCGTCACAAAGTCCTTCTCGCGCAACTGCATGGAGCGCATCAGTGCGCTGACGGTGGAGCTGCAGCAGTACACGGAGGCGTCGCAGCTGTACATCGAGGAGGCATCGATGGTGCCGCGCAACCTTCCCAAGACGCAGCAGTACCTCTACTCACTGCTCTGTATGCTCGCGGAGGGCTTCGGCAACGACGACCGCTACTTCGACGCGCTGTATGTAACACGCAAGCGCTTCGACACGCTGCAGGAGGAGGAGAAGAATTTCCAGCAGGGGAAGGAGCACCAACTGATGCGGCGGCTGATTGAGGCCAACGATCATGGCTCCCTCAATGAGTTCGACATTGCGGTCTTTGAGTACAAGTCGTGCGCCTCCTTTAAGCCGGATAGTGTGTTTGACGTGCTTGCCGAGAGGTGCCGTGCAAACCTCTATGAACATGTGGAGCAATACATGTAGAATTTACCCACCAGCCCATCCTTTTTTTTT